CTGTAAAGAAACATTGTAAAAAGTGTGTGGTTTGCCGAAATAATGACACCTAATGGCTACAACATTAATTACAGTTGCATGATGTTTATTGCCTCTGTGAACAAAGAGGCAGTGAATTCAGGGGGGTAAATCTCCCTTTATACAAGGTTTTATCTACTAGCAAGCCAATGACCTCATAGGTGCTAAAAGTGTGTGAGCAGCAGACGGGAATGTGTGTTGGCTAAATCTGTAGCCTGCTCTACAGATTTAATTCCTCACCTTCTTCTGCCATTCACACCATTCATCACACCACAATCTCACTCACTGTTACATTTTTATTGTTAACCTACATTTTTAAAGAAAATGTATCCCACCAGTTTTAAGAGCACAGGTTTTAAGTTTGGACCATTTCTCCATTTTAATTTTGGGAGCAAGTGCAACAAAAGGAGTCGGGGTTGGGCAATTGAACTACAGTGATTGGTCATCAGCTGTTGCGAAACCCACACCTTGGTTGAAGAACTAGTGTCACTGATAAAATCACTGACTGGGCCTTAAAAACTTAATGGCAAATTTAAAATATCTAAATTATATAGCTTTTCTATAAGATTTTTTTCTTGTACATTTAGTTGCAAACCAACACTTTAAAATTTCCTTTATATTTAAAGGGAAAAAAAATCTTAAAGAGCCGCAGAAATTATTGGAAGACTTGGACAATCTTAAAAGATGTAAAAGTTTTGAACAGGGCTGCCTGAACAGCATTTTGGTGACTGAACTTGGTATTTATGTAGGAATAAAAATGAAATTTTATGTTTCTTTGCCAGGCTTGCTTGATTTGCAACAGGTCCTTTAAAGGGGACTTAAAAGTGTTTGAGGTACTGAAACATACTGTTTCTGTTCTGTAAATAATCATCTGTGTGTGTATCTCAGCTACGTTTGGCACATCAGAATATTCTACACATGCAGGTCTTTAGACACGGACCTGTGGTGTGAGTAACGTGGCGTTATTTTTGGTTTTCCACCGTTGTGTGTCAGTCAGACACAACAAAGCACACCTAATGCAACACTAGAGAATTGTTTAGCTAAGAGCCATGTATGACAATGTGAATGTTTGCTTAAACTGAAACAATGTAACCAGTCTCTGCAGGCTATAGGTGTGACTAAGCTGCTCAAGTCGTGTTGGCTGACCTAATGTGAGTGGATGTGTTTTCAGACTTAATCCGTTGAGCTGAACTGTTTTTGTTCACTGGTGGTGTGATCTTTTATTTTGTCCTTGTTAAGGCTAAAGAAATACAGCACGTCATATTTATCAGCATTATTTTATCTGTGAGTTCCTAATGTTGTATAAACTGTCATCTTGTAAATGTTCATGTAAATATATTTTCTCTCCCTTATTCTTGTATCTAACAGGACTTTGGATATTATAAAGGCGCTTGTGTGTATGATTTTCAAAATAGTTAACAAGCCTTCTGTCAGAGTTAGTCTCTAACCTTGTGTTCAGTATTTTACTGTACTTTGTTGCACTGCCTCTGAAATATAATCATTGTGGTGTTGGATCTGCACCTGGGACCCAAATGTGACCGTTTGAA